TCTCATCAGTGAAAGTTAATTAAGAACACTGGATGGCTAGATGTACTCAAAGTCTTTACCAGCAGTCTAACGCTGCAGACGTGCTATTAAAAAGTGCTAAAACACAGAGAATAGGTGCAAAATGACACTGCTACGCGCCGTTTGTGTACTGCGAACCTACATAATTATACATTGTAGATGCATTATGATACAGAAGGTCCAGCTGATTCTAGCACTCTGAAATACATGCACAGTAACATGTGGCATACTACATTGTACATGTTGTTAGTTAGACAGCATGAAACAAGGCGGAGGACACTGTGTTCGGAAACAGTGACCTTACTACAACCATCCACGGTTGGCAGAGCCCCGGTCCGTTGGGACCATCTGAACCATATGGGTGTTGAACCCGGTTCTGACCCTCATCAACACCCACTCTGGTTCAGATGGTCCCAACGGACCGGGGCTCTGCCAACCTTGGATGGTTGTAGTAAGGTCACTGTTTCCGAACACAGTGTCGTCCGCCTTGTTTCATGCTGTCTAACTAACAACATGTGTGAACTATAACACGGTTTATCTAATATTAGTATTGTCCGCAGATTGAGTAATACTAGTATTGTACTAGTATTGGGTTATATAATACATTGTACATGTAGGGGTGGCAGTTCAGTTGTAACGTTAGTTGGGCTCCAACACCTTACCCCAAGTCATGTTTAATTCAAACTACTGTAAATATACAAAATTTCGGCACTTCACGATTTTTGACATTTCGGCGGTGATTTATTTTCGGCGTGGGGTAGAGGGCATGGTATAGTGCGGCAGATGCTGTGAAAAATTTCGTCGGCGTTTTAATTTAGGCGTTTTGGGTCGGTGCCGAATATAGCCGAAATTAAATAGCTGCCGAAATTTTGTATATTTACAGTATTACTTTTCACTCACAAAGCGACTGTTCAGTACATGGGGTAGTGGTCTACCAGAGCAATCACACTCACCACCGTGGTGGTTTTCCAGAAATGAGTAGAAGCAAAAAACCACACTCGCAGCCACATAATAGATAAATAGTCGGAAAACATCTAAATCCATCAAAGAACCGCCAGCAAGCGGGAGAAAAGGCCGCGAAATCAAGTGAAACAGCATGACAGTGGTGAGCATGGGTGACTGGGCAGCAGGGGAGCGCCTGAAAAACAATGACTCCCTACATTACTGCTGCTTTATTGTTCCAAGTATCAGTTTAGTTTAGTTTAAATATCTCTTATTATTATTATTATTTATTTTTTTCTCACCCCAAACCCCTCTACCCTGTTATCGGCCCTCTTAAGAGTTGTGTTCATCACTGTTGAGGCTTCCGATGGAAAATAAAAGAATACTACTACTACTACTACTACATTCCTAGCCGCGACCGCTCAACCGGGCTAGAGGAAAACACGCCTTTCGGCCAAAAAAACTTTCTATTTCATTAATTCCTGCCCCGCTGCCAGTCAGACCCAAGAATAGAGATAGCAAGAAATGGTATGTAATAACCGGTGTATGTCATAATCATAAGCCACACACATAGGCATAGATTGTCAAGAAGAACAGCGGACGACTGCCATGAAACCAGGGTGGTTGGGCGGGCAACTTCAACTACCACGAGGAAAAACAAAGACCACGATGGCAGGTTCAACGGAGTTGCGCAGAACAAGAGCAAATGCACGAAAATATTTGTGAGTGAAAAATACGTTTTTGCACTATTTCGCTACGCTCAGCCGTGACAAAACAAAACTTGATGATAAACTGGTTCGGATGTGATGTGCAGCGCTATGGGAATGGGTGTGTCCACCCGAATTCTTTTCACAGATGAAGCTGCAGGAAGCCTCAGGCCCTCAGCCCTTCTTCTAACTTGATGACACACACTTTTATTGAATCTTTAGTTTCAGTTGTCTTTGACCACTTTGTGGTGGGTCTGATCTACTAGTACTCACCACCCATCGCTTTATGAGCTGCACTTGAGCCATCAATCTTGGGGGTGGTGACGTTCCTACTACGCGGATGCGGCAGAAAACTCAGTCTGACAGAGCTCACGCAAGCCATGAGAAGTAACTTACTTCTGTGGTTCAAGACTCTGTCATATTCAAGTATTCAGGCAAAAAGAGACCTGAGGGTGAATAGCCGATTGTCTACACGTCCATGTATTTCGTTCTGTGGAGAAAGTGATTCATTCACTGATCTTTAGTTAACCGTATTTCAGAATGTTTGGCCACTTAACGTGGGGTAGCTACAGTGCCCTGCACGTACATGTACATACACTGATGTAGGAAAGAGCCCACGGGCATGGTCAGAAGAGATACCGGTACATGTAAAATTCAATCATTAAATTTTACATTCATGTGTTTATACTAAATGGAGGAGCATCGCCATAGACTCTTGCTACCGCATCAGCAGGCTAGCTTGTAGCAGATAGAAACTGATAAGCAGAATGGAACTCAATCCCGGATACATGTACATGCACATGTACATCATTCCTTTGCCTCAGATATCGCCACGCAGAAAGAATCGACTACAAATCGACTAATATAACAATCGACTACAAAATACAAACTCGTACCTACTGCATGTTATGTGATTGTCATCATACGAAAGGATGTGAGTCTCGGACAGTATCCCTTAGGCTTTCTCTAACTAGAAACATTTTTTCTAGCTAGAGAAAACCAGCGGATTGTTTCTAGAAACATTGTTTCTAGTTAGAGAAAGACCAACGGATACTGTCTGAGACTCTCCACTTCACTCCAAGTCCAACAGAATATTGGACAAAGAATGTTTCGGTTACTGAATTGCATCGGAAAACACTAATGCTACAATGCCATCCACACTAAAACAGTTTTGATAGACTACTACAGTCCTGCATTTCAAAACTAGAGACGCGTACCTAGGCAAAAACCGTTATGCCAGCATCTATACCACATAAAATCTGTGATAACTTTGTGCATAAATTGGGCGTCTGTTATCCAATCGTTTAGAAACTCTATGAGAGTAATTGTGGAGCGATCCTGAGCAATATTCCGAAAACTATTCTCAAAAAGTTCCAGCCAAATTTGAAATATTTCAAAAACCCTACGCGTCTATAGTTTTAAAATGGACTGTAGTACTCAGTCACAGTACTCAGTCACAGTACTCAGTCACAGTACTCAGTCACAGTACTCAGTCACAGTACTCAGTCACAGTACTCAGTCACAGTACTCAGTCACAGTACTCAGTCACAGTACTCAGTCACAGTACTCAGTCACAGTACTCAGTCACAGTACTCAGTCACAGTACTCAGTCACAGTACTCAGTCACAGTACTCAGTCACAAGAACCTGACCAAGCACAATGAATTTCAAGCAGTGGTGGTGTGATGACAACCGCGCGAAGAACAGTAGCCCGAAACAACATGGGAAGTACACAACCTCATCAGGCTTCGAAGTGACGCAATCTCAGCCTGCGATCTTTGCACGACTTCATACACATCACGGGAATGGGGCTGTTAAGTGTGACGTCACGGCTCCTTCGATACGCATAGCAACGGAGAGCACTGGGGACAAACAAAAGTCGCGTCCTCTGGATGGAACCAGATGTCAAGGGCAACAGCATCTAAAATGACTGGAGAGACAGTTGTTTTTCTTTGCTTTTTCTTCAAGCGATTGTTGTCGCTCTTTACTCCTTGTTCTTTCCTCTACAAAACTCCTGTAGTCGTCGAGTGCCTTCATGATGGCTGTGAAATTGGCTGTCCACAGTAAAACTTCGTGTTTGAGAGTGCTTTGAAGATGTTTCGCGTCCTGATGGATCAAATTATGAGCGCTCCTTGTGTATTCAATTATATATCGGTGAGTTGTTCAAGAAATCAGTGTCTTCTTTCTGTCTCTGCCCTCACGCTGGCACAATATCAGCCTCTATATCCATGACAGCTCGCACCTCCCGTAAACTGCATGACTTAGATATATTTTCGCCCTCCGTGGTGATCTAAGACCCATGGAAGAATTTATTATGTTCAGAATGATGTCCTAAGAATATAAAATATAATAATTCTAGGGAATTGTCATAGGGTATTTTTGGAAGGATGGAGACAGAGAGAGCACTGTTTGAACTGTTTGTCTCACTGTAATTACTCCAGATTATTGAATGTTGTATGATCTACTCTATATTTTCCATAATGGTTTTTCCTGATTTGCGGGATCTCTTCTTTTGCTGTTTGCGTGTTTACAGGAAGTGGCTGTCTGGTGTAACTGCACCAGATCCTGGGGAAATTAAGTCAGATGCAGAGGCAGGGTCGTCCAGTGATGCAACACTGCCGTTCTGTGTGCAGTGTTACCGCTAATACCCCCGGCGAAAACACAAAGACAAACACGTGAAAAGACTACAGTATTGACCGTTCTGCTAATAAATGCAGGACTGCTCCGACAGTCGATAATCGAAACACAGAGCACCAGCATGATGTTTTCATATAGGGAACCACACAACAGCTCAATTCTCAAGCCCAAAAATTGATGAATACAAATACAGAGCGACGCAACAAGAGATCATCCGGCAACCGAACAAACCTGGGTCTAATGCACTGAATAGTCCTAAAATACGCAGGCCAGACAAAGCAGTGCAAGCACATAATGTTACAAGGTACATGCATTGCAGAACAAAGTGTAACCAAAGATACACAGGGTTATAGCTGCACACTTGTGCATGTGCTCGCTCAGCCCAAGAACACACGATCATGATGATAGAAACAATCCGGGGGAAACACGCTAACACCGAAGTAAGCATCAACACGTAAATAGTGCAGCTCTGAAAAAATTACATTGACATGAACATTGGTGTGTCGAGTAGTGTCAGGCTTGAATAATCATCCAACCAAGACTTCATCAGGTCCCAGACGCTGAGATCGCACGCCGAATGTGAAGTGCATCTAGCCTTGAACCTGTCGCACAAGGCACACATATAATGGCAAAATGACATCCACTCTGATTATTTCCAGAGGCCAATCATGACAGAACACAGAAATGAAACCACGGGCTCAACCAAGTAAACGCAAAGGAAGTTAGTCAAAATAATCCATGCAGTGCTCTTTTAATTGCAGCGCTGATTGCAGTGTTGCGTCATGGCCCGATACCAGCTGAGCACAGACACAACTCCATTCGTCAGGG